AAGGTTTATCTTTCTAAGGCAGTGTAATTATCTTCTTTTTCTTCCATAATTCTCTTATTGGTTGGTTATTTAATGCATTCTGGTATGTGCAAGAATACAACTACAACTCCATCGACTCCTGATGGGATGTATTGTGTCTGTCTAAACCTCCATTCACTGCCTGAAAACTCATCCCAGATTGTCTGTGCATAACAGCATATGTGTATTTATAAAACAAAAGCAAAGAAGGATCTTTTGTCTTTATGGCCTGTGAGACTTGAAGGAGTGAGAGAGGTTTTCTCTGTGCCACAGAGTGTGACCATGGAACTCCTTGACCTAAGTACTGTAGACTTAGATGAGGATTACACATGTGGGCGAGCTCCACAGATGTTTACAGGGTGTGGTATCAGCCCTGATGGAGTTAACGCACTTAAGACATGATTTGGGAACTTCACACTTGGAGTGGACAAGAGGAAGTCTGGTTTCTTCTGGGCAAAGCCTTGTAGCGGGTATTGCTCTGGTACTTAACACATCTGTTAATATGGAGTGGAAACAGTGACTGTGAGATAAATCACACGAAGAATACTGGCCAGTCAGAGGTGTTTTGAGGTGACTTGCCAAAATAGGGGTTAATTTGTTCCCGGGGTTTCACTCCTCTTGCTGTACCACTGTACTGGGGTGTTAATGAGGTCAGTGAAGTTCATGAGCATCCATTTAGTCAAGTGCAGTGATGAGCATCTTTCAATTCACCACATTTGGGAGCCCAGCAACTTGAGTGTGGTTCCTGCTAATCCAAAGAAGTCATGTTGCTGAGGGCAGTTGAATTCCAGTGCTGGGCATTGCAGTGATGTTGCTGTGGGAGAATAGAAGGGAGATTTGTGTTGGCTTTCTTCATGCTGCTACGTGACTTCGTAACAAGTCAAAAATGGTGTGAATAGCAGGAAAATAGGACACTTGGAAATGGGATACTGCACTACAAGAGCTATTTTAAAGGTTTAAAAGGTCTTATAGCCTGTAACATCAAACTAGGTTGCCTTAATGGTGTTGGGAGATGTGGGGTTGAAAAACTCTTTTGCTTTTTTCACCTTTGTTGGAAAGAATCGGAGGGGGAGAACAACTCTTTGTGAAGTATCCTAAAAAGCTACAATCCTAAACCAGCCTCTTTGCACTCAGACCTTCCTTATCAAAGTTTCTACTCTGTCCCACAGCAACAGCAGCATACTCATGCCATCAGTCTGGAAACCCATTAGGGAATTCACAGTGTCCCAAGTTAAAACAACGGCCTCATTGCCACAGCAGCAACCCGGGCTCTGGAACGATCAGGAATTTTCCTTCCAAAGTAAGAAACTAAAGCAATTCCCCGGGCCTACTTCTAGACAGGCACCACCTCCATGGACCCACACACCTCTGCTTGGATTTTATCCCCCACTTCTGCAGCGCAGAAGGGACAGAATAACTTTTAACCCATGCACCCCTGTCCCGGTGCCCCGTTAGCAGGAGGTTAATGCTGGACAGTGGCATTTTGGGTCTAAACACGCTCTTTTCCTGCACCCCAACCCGGACGTACCCTCTTACTTAACTGTGTTAAATGTCGTTGTACAGTTGGTGACCGCTGTTCGTGCTCATAGTCTTGTGCAACCTCGCAGCTGTATAACCCCCCCCACCCCCATTAATAAATCTTCCCTTTCCCCCCTTTTTTAACGCTACAAACCCCCCTCTTGGCTTGCGCTGAATTGGGGGGGGGTGTG